TGTGATGGTGGCTCTGTGGAGATGTTTCTGGTGAGAGCGGCCCAAGGCTGTGGGCTGCGTGTGCTGTAGCTGGTGGGCTGCTAGACTGGGGGTTTTACAGACTAGGGAACTATAATGTGCTTTATCTGTCTATGGGATGGGAAGACCCAGCAGTGTTTGGTGTCTGAGGCTATTTTTGGTTTTGTGATTAAAACTATGGCTTTTTCTGTAATGAGAATTTAACACACAGGACTTGTATTTAGGGCCAAGTGCCAGGAAATCTTCTCAAGCAACACTAATTATACCATTTGGCAACATTAGTGCATGGGCAGTAACCTTTTCTCAGGAATTTTTAGCAGATAGATTTAGTGTCAAAAAAACCCATGTAATAGCTTCTGCAGTCTATCACGTTTGTTACCAACTTTTTAATGTATGCCTTCTACTCATAGAATTGAAAGACCTTATTGATCTCTTAGCAGCTGAGCTGATTATTGGGTTAAGATAGAGACTTCCTGAAAGAGGCCAAGAGAAATTATTCATTTAACATGTTCCGATTTTAGTAAACTTCCATTTAAACTCCAAAGTTAATTAAATATATATATATATTGCCAATTGGCTCACATAAATTTATTAAATTCGGCAGAAAAGGAGTGCAGACTGGTGCATTTCATATCAACTTTTGTAATATTCTTGGGGAAAAAATCCACATTGACTTATTAATTTCCATACAAACACAGGTAAGAACTTTGCTGTGAGAGTGAGTGCAGCAGAAATTCTAAGTTACAGCTTGAACCAGTGATTGAGCACCTGGTGGGAAGGCAGGTCCAACTCAGGGGAGCTCAGGTGCATGCAATGCATCTGAGTGACTGGAAGAGATGCAGTCAGGATCCACCCCCTCCCAGACCTCATTTAAGTGTTGGCAGTGGAGGTAGGGGTATCTCATGGAGGTCCCTGTGTACCTGAGGCCTTCTGAAGGTGAGCTGTTTTTCTTCCTTTGTTTCTTGTTCACAGCTGCTGCATTTGGGCTTGTTCTCGTTTGCTACAGTCTAGGATTGTGCTGCTCTGCTACTGTCACTGTACTTTCTATCACATTATAGCATTAGAGTAAGAGAGCACTGGTTGCTCAGAGAGGTGGTGGAGCCTCCTTCTCTGGAGATATTCAATACCCATCTGGACATGTTTCTGTGTGACCTGACCTATTGTAGGGAACCTGCTTAACAGGAGTTTGGACTTGGTGATCTCCAGAGGTCCCTTCCAACCCCTGCAGTTCTGTGATGAGTATTCCAGAATTGCTTTATTGAAGAACACTAGCTAAAACAGCAACACAATCCAACCAGGAAAATAAAACCCCCAAATGAAAACACATTCTGCAACTCCGGCGGTTCAGAAATACTTGTGTCAGGTATTGTGGATTTAAAGGTCTGAGGTAATTGGTTGGAACCCTGTTTTCATCCCAAGGTTTTAGCTGGCTGGCATTTGTGGCGTCTTCAGGTTGGAATTAGGGGCATGCCGTCCAGAGGTGCCATGGTTCTTCCCTGTGCCTACACATCACAGCTGGTGTCTTTGTTAATATCTGAACAGAGTGAGGATTAAAGGCACCTAACAGCTGAGAGGATTTTCAGAGGCATGAGTGGCATTCAGACATATATCTCATGTCGGTTGCTACTGGTTTTCCAGACTTGCTTCCATGTTCCTGGTTCAGTGTGGGACTTTCTTCCCACTGCTCTGCCTGGCCCTACAGTGGACAAGCTATTTATGAGTGTTTGATGGGTGTCTGGGAGAAACGTTCAGAGTTGCAAATGTGAACATCCAAGTGACATCCATAGGATGGAGGAGCCTGTGCTAGATTGGAAAGAGCTAATCAAACCATCCCCAGGGAAGTCTGTCTTGTGTTTCCTGCTGATGGGCTTGGATCAGGTGACACAAGGAAGGCAAACTGAATCACAGAATCACAAGGTTGGAAACGACCTGCAAGATCATCTAGTCCAACCGCCCTCCCATTCTTATTAGTACCACTCTAAAACATATCTCGTAGCTCCTCATCCAGATGCCTCTTGAACACTGCCAGGGACGGCGACTCCACCACCTCCCTGGGCAGCCATTCCAGTGCCTGACCACCCTCCGAGATAAAAAGTTTCTCCTGATGTCCAACCTAAACCTCCTCTGGTACAACTTCTGACCGTTTCCTCAGGTCCTACTATTTGCCTGGGAGAAGAGGCCAGACCCTTTTGCACCACAACCTCCCTTCAGGAAGTTGTACAGTGCAATGAGGTCTCCCCTGAGCCTCCTCTTCTCCAGACTGAACAATCCAGCTCCCTCAGCTGCTCCTCATAGGGTTTGTGCTCCAGACCCTTCACCAGTTTCGTTGGTCCAAACTGTTTGGAGTGGGGCTCCTCTGCCCCTAGTTTGACTTTGGATGTGAAGCAGAAAGGAGTGGGGCTAAAACATCCAAGGAAGCAGCAGAGAGGGGAGAAGGCTTCATTGGCAGGAGTTTATGAAAAACAAATGAGCAGTAAAATATCAAAATGAGGCTTCAAGGCAGGTTAGTTTTGATCCTGGGCAGGACAAGTGAAACTGTTTTAGAAAGCACAGGGAGGACTATAAAAAAAAATGCAGTATTGGATTTAGATAGAAACTGCTGACACTGTTAACTGTGTGGCACTTGTGCAAGTTAATGTTAGAAGCCAACATCATAAAACTGTCCGTTCTGTCAACCAGTTTCAGGGCAGATATTTACTCCTCCCTCATCAAACTGAGATGACAGGTTTCTAAGTGGTTGTTGTCTGAAATGTGACAAAAAGTGTATTTTTGGCAACTGATCTTAGTTTGTGTCCTACATGATGCTCTGTCTCGTGGTTTGGAATACCTGATGCATTTAGAGCTTGCTGTGGGCCATCCCCTCCCTCAGATGACGGGGATAAATTCTGGCTGCAGGTGTAGTCCCCATGGAGGTGGAAATGCAGCCTCTTCCCAAGCACTGCAGTTAAACTGAAGTAGCAGGAACCAGCAAGGAACACTTGTAATATGGAATAGATCAATGTAGTAAAATTTCATTTGCAAGTGCTTTCTGAGCTGCCCATCCAGTGGTGAAGCTGCTCTGAAATACCATGTGACTTTCTCTCAGCATGCTGCACGCTGTGTAACCTCACCTTTCATCTCCCTGTCACTTCAGATGAAAGACTTGTATGGAGAGGGGTGTGTTGTGTGTTAGGATCTGCCCGTGTCCTCCAGGATCTGAACGGCAAAGGGCTGTTTGAGATATGCACTCCATGCATGTCAAGAGAAGTGCTGCAATAAAAATGGTAGTTGGCTATGCAAACTCATCTTAGTCTGGGGAGAAGGAAGCCTTCACCTTTATGCGAGATCTGCTTAATCTGAAAGCTCTTTTAGGAAAGATTTTAAGGATGAGTAATCATTTTTACTGTCTTTCAGCTCCGGTTCTCAGTTCTGCTCAGTGATTTCCTGAATCACTGAAAAGATTTCCTTCAGTAGATTTTGATATCTTGATGCTCTTTACCTGGGCTGTTATAAGTGGAAGTGAAAAACTCTGTAAAATGTCTGCTTCTGCCTCCATTACTATGATCTGCTGCCCACAGGCTGGTATCAATATGCTCAGGGAGCACAATGCCTGAGAGCTCAGTGTCTGGAGCCTAATGCCATGGTTCAGTGTAATACATGGTGAACTTTCCCAGCAAATTTAGCACCAGGAAAACATACAACCACACCTGTGGTTCAGAGATGTTGCCATCCCTGTACGTGCAAAAAGTTGGCTGGCCTAAGCAAGTTTGCCCAGCTGCTATTGCAGAACTTGCTGGAGTTCCCTATGAAAAGCACGAAAAACAGGCCACTCACACATGGGCATTTTTCTTACTCTGAAGCCCTTGTCTCCTTATCCATCACTCGTGAATAGAGCTGGTGATGGGATTCTGTCAAAGAATCACAGCATTGTAGTTGTCAGAAGGGACCTCTGGAGGTTCCCTGCTAAGGAAAGTCCTGTCCTTTTACAGGAAATGACTTCCTGCAGGTGTGCACCCATCCTGCTGTGGCCTTGCTCACATTTGCTTCCTGGGAACATCTAAGTGATTAAAGGTGAGGGCCTGGCCCCATGCAGCTCTGCCATTGCATTCGATGGAGTCAGTATTTCACCTGTGCTAGCAGTGGCAGAGACTGAATGTGAGAGCTGCACGCACCAGCCTTCACAGAAATCAATTCTCACACACAGCATTAATATTGGAAGTGCTTCTCGCTCACCTAATCGTTGGCCAGGCACAATAACCTGTGACTAATAGCCGTTCATGGTTATACAGCATGGCCTGATTATAAAAATTTGTCATTAGTCCGTAACAAAAAAATCTCAAGCTGTTAATTGACCAATATGTATTCCAGAGGAAATGGGAGTAATCACATGGATATTCATTGCACAGAAAGGGAAGCACAGCTAGCATGTGCATTGCTTTTATGATTCATCTGCTCTGGTCTACTTCTGATTATTTTTTTTTTTTTTTTCCTCATGTGGGACCAGCATTGTAAATCAAAGAGTTGAGAAATAAGGCTGTGCTTAAAGTGACCCACATTAAAAGCCAATTGCCACTTTTTCTCTTACTAGGCAGCCGTCCATTTTTGTGCAGGAATAGACACATGCTGAAGGCTGTCAGACAGCTACAGAAGCAAACCAGTTAGCTCATGGTCTGCCTTTGCCAATGGCAAGGTCAGCTACTGGAAAAAGTTACAGAACAGCTTTTACAGCCAGGTATGATCCTACAGAAGAGCTTTCATAAAGAACTGGCATTCTTTGCTCATTTTCTTTCAAGTTGGAGGGACTCTTCCTTGGAAAAACAGCCTGTGACTCACAAAACAAGGACAGCGAGATCTGTGGGGGTTGGAGTATTTATTTACTTATTTACCATTCAGGTTTCCCTGACGTAAGCTTCTTTTTCTGTTGATAGATGGGACCATTCATACCAATGGTCAGGACAGGCTATCCATGTGGTAGATTTTCTTCTGCTTTCATTCCCCTGCAGTATTTCAGCAGCTGGAGCCTCACAGGAGCTATCACTCTCTGGCTGATGTTGAGGACAGAGGCACCAGTCTGGCAGAGAGGTCTCGCCATCCCTGCTGGGGTCCAAGGAATTCGCAGATGTTACCCTATGTGGGCACCCTATGGCATCCCTGCTCTGGTCAGTGGCTTTCACTGCTTGGATTTAGTTACGGTTTTAAAAAGCAGAGCTTGGAAAAGTTGTTTGTGACTGTAGGAAAAAAATCCCAAGAAAGCAGACCATAAATCAGGTCATCGAATGAATTCAGAATGCACTAATAAAATCAGAGCTTCCAATAAATTTCATTTCAGGCAGAGCAGAAACATTTTCTTGGTTGAGAGTTCAGGATAGATGATAATTTCAGATGTGTGTCTGGCCAGTGCAGTATGTCTACAAAGTGTTTGCAGGCAAACAGCAGCGGCTGGTATGGAGTCAGGCCCTCACAGCAGCTGCATTTTAGTATGACTGAATAAGAATATGAGTATCTATAGCTCTCTGAGCTGAACCTAATTAAATATTTAATGTTTTTTTCCTCCCAAATCCTTTGGTTTCTTGCTCTTTCGTACTGCGCTACGATGACATTTGAACAACAAATGCAGCCTTGGTAGGTGGGTCTCCTGGTACTGCTTTTTATATGAGAAGCTTGCACTTCCCAGCTGAAGTCCAGCTGCTGCATTTATGATGGTATTTTGTCCTGATCAATTTTTAAAAAACATTTTCCTATCTATGAAATTAATGGGTGCCTGGAGAAATAGCAGCTCCTCCCCGTTCCTGCCAATACTAACCTTCCCCAGACGGGAAGAGACTTCTCCTTCCCTTTATTTACCTGCAAGATATCCTCACTAGTGCTCAGAATCACAAAAGGAGAGGAAAAATAATAAAACCTCAGTACATGGAAAGCGTTACCAACAGAACAACTGTGCCTATTGCAGCTAGGCTCTGCCTTTCCAGGCTCCATTACACTGACTAAGCCCTGCATAATCTTCCAGGGGTCGCAGAGTGAGCCATTAGCAAGACAGCACTAAGACAGAGGCATCCTGAATTTTGTAACTGCACTGATTACTTTAAGACCCCAATTTGAAAGGCCATAGGTCTGTGCTGGCAGCACAGTCATACAGATAGCTACTTATAGCCTTACAAATTGGTTTTCCTGCAATCATCATCTTGCTACTGTGTGCTGGCAGTGTGTTTTTGTTATGTTTTGTCTTTTTCACCGCTGCTGACAATTATGTTGTGATTGGCTGCAAAACGATGAAGGAAGTCTGAGAGGAGAGGGGCCTCACCCTGTCCTGGTGCTCCTGCAGCAGGCTGTGCTGCTGCACTGTCAGCCTTCTTGTATGTTTCCTCCCTCTCTCAGCAATGCTTTTCCATATGTGTGAATGCACCCAGGAGGGTGTACTGGGTTGCTGGGTGCCTGGCACCGCGTCGTGTGGGTTATGAAGGCTGCTTCAGTGGGCATCAAAATGAATGGTTGTATTTCCATCTCTCTGTGCTAGATGGACTCTTCATGTGCACTATCTGTAATGTCTCATACCCCAACTCTCAAAGGCTGATAATCACTCAGGTGGATGGACTTAAAAAGGCAGTGCCCGTCCATAGGGAACACCTCTGGCTGTTCTGGCTGACACCTTACCACAGCCGTAGTAGAAAAGCTGCACAGGCTTACAACAAGTTAATAAAAAGAAATATTTGTTCCTGTACTAGAAAAATACACATTGTGCTTCATATTTTGGGATTTTTATTTTTTTTTTAGCACTGTTTCCTTTCCCTTTAATTTTTTCTTAAAGTAAAGTAAGATGGAACCAGGTGTCATTGTATTGTTCTAACATGCACAGTAACTTCGGATGATTAATACTGTGACACCATAATCTCATAAGAAATAATTTTTATCCATTATCTAAAATCGGCTTTTAATTAAAAGAATATTTCATATTTATACTGTGATACTAACTGACCCTGATTATTTTAAAATTATCTGTGCTGTTGGCACATCCTAAGTGTAGAGCATGTATCTTTCTGTTGGGCTTTATTGTCTGCCTGAAAGGTGAATTTCAAGTACCAAGTATTACTAAGTAAGTAGGAATGTCCTTCTATGTGTAGGTTTGTAATTAATTTGCCAAGAATGATCTCTATCTTCTTGTAGCCTATATTTCATGAGGGAAAAAACCATCCTGTTTCAAAACTTTTCCATAATTGAATCATAGAATGGCCTGGGTTGAAAAGGACCTCAGAGCTCATCCAGTTCCAACCCCCTGCTGTGCGCAGGGTCGCCAACCAGCAGCCCAGGCTGCCCAGAGCCTCATCCAGCCTGGCCTTGAATGCCTGCAGGGATGGGGCATCCACAGCCTCCTTGGGCAACCTGTTCCAGTGCATCACCACCCTCTTGTGTGGAAAAATTCCTCCTAATATTTAATCTAAACCTCCCCTGTCTCAATTTAAAACCATTCCCCCTTTCCTATCACTGTCCACCCTTGTAAACAGTCATTCCCCTTCCTGTTTATAGGCTCCCTTCAAGTTTTGCAAGGCTGCAATGAGGTCTCCCTGGAACCTTCTCTTCCCTCATGCTAAACAGTCCCAGTTCCATCAACCTTTCCTTGTATGAGAGGTGCTCCAGTCCTCTGATGATCTTGGTGGCCCTCCTCTGCAGCTGCCCCAAGAGCTCCACTGCAGTTGGAGCTGATAGGTAACAGAGCTCAACTTGAATTAAGCTCCAATGGAGGAGCTTCTTGTGGAGGTATGTTATGCAGTTTTCAGACTGAATGCATCTGGTTGGTGTGGCTACGCTGACTGCACTACACTCTCGCAATACATGCTAGTTACTGTGATGTTTTGTATTTCACTCAGGATGCTGACAGTTGTCTGCATAACTTCAAGAACCTGTGAGTGGACATGCAGCTGCACTGAAAATGGCAGTACACCTGTGTGTGTCATCATCACCTGCTGCAAGCTGTCCGATGCCCTGTAATGCTGATGAGGGGATGTCTTTCTGCCTTCCTCACCGAGCTACCAAAGGCAAGCAGATTTCTATTAAAATTCCAGCAAGTGTACCTAAAACCCACCTTAACAGCAATGAATTTACACATTCGGTACATTGGAATATTTTATTTTCACTTTACATGCGGTGTTAAAAACCCAAAGAACGTATTATTTACACATCCACAATACAAGTTTACAAGATATCTATACATGTTAAAGTACTCTATAGTATAGAGCAGCTTCATTTAAGGGTTACTTTTTTATGCCGTACCATTAAAAAAGATACAATCTGCGTTTACCTTTGCACAAATGGATAAAGCATCTTTTATTATTAAATTAACAGAATGAAGACTAAGTTGAATGTTAGAAATTTCAACATAAATACTGAGAGAACTCACATTACCATCTACAAGGCAGCACAATGTTACAGGAGGTTATCAGGGTTCACATACATTTATCTTTCGATTTCACACAAGTCTTTATTAATTAATATTTGTAGAGTGAATTCAGATCAGTTTTTGTCTCTTGACAACCAAGTACATTTTTATGTTATTAATCTGTAGTGTTTTAGTTGCAAGACATAAGTGTTTAGGAAGAGAGATCATTGATTTTTGGATCCAGAGGTCTCAGGAAATAAATGTCCCTTACAGCCTTGCAAGAAAAAATGACTACTGCTGTCCTTTATTCTTTGTTCTGTAAAAGAGATCCAGTTTTCAGTGACTAACCTTTTCTCCCCTTCGAACACATAACATAAATCTCCACCATCTCTGAAACCCGTTGCAGTTATTTGTCCCGCTAATTCATTCCTCTGCCATGGTTATTTCTATACTTATGTTCAATAAACAATGTGGTAGTGTGTAGTTTGCAAGCTAAAATAGCCATCTGTGTTGAACATCAGCTGCAAGTGGATACTGTAAAACCTACTAAATAGCTTACACAACTTTAGCAGGTGTTCCATTACCCTAGAAACCTCATTTGATTTCACATTATAACTGTTTGATCCTTCGGAGAGCTGGAGTGGAATGTTTATCATGGCAAGGTGATTTAATGCTGCTGTCTTCTTGGATTGTAGGCTGCCTTTAGTTATTGTTAATTATCCTTGCTTATTATCTTTATTTTTTTTTTGGGGGGGGGGGGGAGGGTGCTGTTGAGAGGTTTTACAACTGGCACTCAGGAGATATGTGCTATAGTGAGAACACTTGACAGTTTTTTTTTTGTTTGTTTTTTTGTTTTTTTGTTTTTTTAGTACTTTTATCATTTGCATGAATAAGGCACAAAATGCACAGATTCAGGTAAACTCACACATAATATTTACAGAATATTGTCATTACCTGCATGACTTTGGAAAAAAAAAAAACCAACAACCTTACATTAAACAACAAAAACAAATTGATTGCACTACTGTTGATTTTTCACAGACTGCTTCTGCCAGGCCAATTAATGTGTCTGTCTTTTTTTTTTTTTTTTTTTTTTTTCTTTTCTTCACTGACAAGAGTCTATCAGACTACAGGGCATCTTTAAATGCAACAAACGTGTAACCTTCTCCAGTTAAGCAGGCTTTTGCCAAACGAATTGTTACTAGCTGCCCTCAATGAGAAGTACAGGGGCTCAGGTTCACAGTGGCCAGGTATTGGATGGAGGCAATGTGGAAACACAGCTGAACTCCCCCATCCCAGCCCAAACGACTAGGTTTGAAATGTACAGCTCTGAATCGATAGCAGCATAACAGAGTTATGGAGAATTAAAGGTATCTGCCCTCTTTTTGCTGGGTGAACACTTCATCAAGGCTGTCATGCAGAAGGCTGGCGGCAACGCACAGTTCTTCCTTGGCTGTTGCCAAACTGAACCCAATGGGCTGCAGAAGGCAGAGTCATCTGTTTGTTCAGTCATGCTCAATGTAAACAATTCCATAGCATAAAAGATGCAATGGGAATCTAAGCACATCCTAGTGTGTACAGTACACACATACACCCACACACACGCACAGCTTTATCTGTGGCACAAACAAAATGCCACACACAAGGAGAAAAAAGAAATAAAAATAAATGCTACAGTTGGGCCAGAGACTGAATTCCAGCAAATTGATTATTAACCCAGATAGTCATTGAGACATTACCATTTTCTGACATTTGTGCAAGAGGCAAGGTGAATGCATACATATTAAAATGTTCACATTTAATGGGAAGGACCACGCTTAATGGCAGTCTAAAATGGAACCCATTTTTCAAGTATTTGCTTACAGATTTCTTTTCCCAAGAACTTTTTGTTGTTGTTTGTTTGCTTTTTCAGCTATTCAGAACAGTAAAGTAGCCCCCACCCCATTGTGCTACATGTCTCCTTAGCTCCAAACAAAAGAAATGTAATGACCAGCACTTTCCTTTGTTTTGTTTTTCTTTTTTCATTTGCTCTCAGCAAGTACACAAAGTCTTGCTGTAGCTACCTGTGGCAAGACACAGATGTTGCTGAAGTAAAGACAGTTTCTTTGGCCACTTTGTTCTCTTTAATTACAAGCAAGTCTCTGTCTTATGTGTCTACCACAACATCATCTCACAACCTGTACAGGTCAATGCCACGCTCATTTTTAGGACAGACGCGTCCTAGTAACTGTATTTGTTCAGTGGTCTGACTGATGTTGTTTGAGGAACAAATGAGGGTTTTGGTGGCACATCAGGTTTTAACGAGGGTGTCCTCTTTATTCCTGTACGAGGAAGAGTGCCATTGCTTGTGTAACTGCTTTGCCTGGACAAGGAAGGCTGGAGGTGAACGCTGACAGGCGTTCCTTGCATGTAGTCCATCTTTGTGCCTGCTGTGGGAGTCACATAACCCCCTCGATTAATACTGGGCTGTCTGGATAACAAAACACCATTTGGTGAGTTTAAGTTTTTAGGAAGGGCAGATATTGAATGCCTTTGTGAAGAATTTTTGTGATAACCTCTCTGCCTTTCCAAAGAGGTCATCGGTACTGCAGGTGTGGTGGGAACGTCCACTCGTTTTGTGGGGCTGTTTCTCGGAAGAGTTGATGGTGGAGAGTATAAAGATGCCTCCCTGTTGGGAACTTTAGGTGGGATCTCAGACATATTTCCCATTGGATCCAGCATTAAAGTCTGGTGGGCCACTTGAATATCTCCCATAATTGCTTTTGGATTACTAGTAGTTTCATTTAAGTGCTTCAGAAAATCATTCAGGGTGTTCCTGGAATCAACAGACCTCCTGTGGTCTCTTTTGCTGGATGGTTTTGTAAGTGGATGATCAATATGTTGCATCTTCTTGTCTGCCTTGTGCGCATTAGAATTTGAGAAAGACGTGTTGTAATCATGAGTAGCATTGGGAAGAACGATAGCACTAGGGATATGTCCATGACTCAGAGGAGAGTGAGGTGGAGGACTGGAAGGAAAAAACTGAGGGCTTTTTAGTGGGGTTTCCTTTCGTGAAGCATTGAGATTACTGTGTGCTTTGTCCGACTGACTTTTCATGGCTTGCAGAGTCTTTTGCTGAAGAACTGGTGTGGATTCAGGAGTGGGAAGCGCAGCTAATTCTGGAGGCTGGCCCCTGTGGTCCATCATCATGGACTTCATATCACCATTTGGTGGCAATTCCTTTCTGCTAGTCAGCAGGTTGGTGTAGAGTTTGGGCGAATCAATGTTTTGTTGGTACTCCTTGACAGGACTATCAAAAAGCCCGTTCAGTTTAGCAAAGCTCCCGCTGGAGTCCGTACAGGACTGAGCAGATTCTGCATCTTTGTGTATTTTCCTGGATTTCCGTACAAACACATCCCGATAACAGTACACGGCCACTCCCGCAATAAAGGCTCCCAGGACAAAAGCAGCAAAGACACAAGTGATTAGGACATTCATGTGTACCATTTGGTTGGACTCTCCTGATTGCACTTCCCACCTTACACCTGCAAGAGACATGCAGCGTATCATAAATTTACACATACATACTTAAAACCGATCTATTTCAGAAGTAGTAAGCCTGCCTTGCACAAGGACAGCAGTGGCCTTGAGTTTTTGAGCGCTCTGCCCCCTGTTCTCTGCAGTCCAGAGCACTGCTGCATGCTAATAATTTTATAAATAAAAAGGACCGAGTTAGCATTGATCAGCTCTATTTAGACTGTCTACTTTCTTTGGACAAGTTCTGATGCTTGTCAGAGCTTCGCTCCTTATACTATGTTCGGTTTGTACACTCTATGCTATCTGTTTAGCCTGTCCTTAAATTTCCTTTAAGGCTTACAAATACAGGGCCTGAATGCTATTAACATTAACGATTTGTGCTGGAAAATTGAGGTTAGAAGGTGCTACTGGGCCAGACAGCAATTAATAACTCATAGATGGATTTCTCTCTCAATTTTCTGCCCAACTCATAAATCAGTATCAAAAGAGAGACAGGATTATGCAAATGTTACATAGAACTGTATAACTTACATAGTGCATTGTTAAAACCACATCAATATAATATGGTGCAAAACTTGTAAACTAATCCATCTGCAGCTCGCTAGCCTTGGAATGGCACAGTTTGATAAGGTAAGCATACAATTTTTTAAGTTAAAGATTACAGCATTCTATTAAAGCACAAGTTTTCCTTTCTACTTATAGTCAATAACAAAAAAGAATACTTGCATAATATAGAAAAAACCACACCTTGCAAGGTTAAGTTACTATACAGTGTTAAAATCTAGAAAACTTTTTGTTTAGACAAGAGTTGAGTACTGGATTAGTTTGTGATTCACGTATTAACCAGCTCCCTTTGTTTCTTGAGATTTTTTATAGCAACCACAGACATCTTGCAGCTAAGATAATGTTAGTTCTTAATGGAAGTAATTCTGTTAACTGTCCCAAAGGACGTTCACACAAAAGAGCAAGACTGAAGCTACAGATTCATTTTTGTTAGAGGCAAGGCCTTTGAACATTGTTAACTTTCAGGGCTATAGATTTTAATGGTACAGTGCAGAAGAAGAACATGAGTAAAGTTCACTAATAGCTATGACACAAAATGTGATTCAGAACCAAGAGCAAATGATAACAAAAAAACTTAAAGCAAAATGGAAAATAACTGCAACAAATTAAAATGACAAATGCACTGCTATAATGGCTGATAGGAAACCTGATATGTTTTGGTGAATGGTAATAAAAATAGAAATGTTTTTTGGCTAGAGAGATTTTTCAGAATACAGAATTGTGCAAACATGCCTGTCACCCTGCTATTCTGTGCACTGATGAAGACTTCTTTTAAGTTTTCTTTATGGGGTTGGAAGCTTCTTGAGTCTTTGATTGACTGCAACAGTCCTGCTGAATTGAAATCTTTGTTGCCGTAAGAGCCTAATCAAAGCTTCACTTAGCTGAAAGAACTGCTACAGAAAGATGAATTACATGTGGTACATGTTTCTTTCTGTGTTCAGATTAAAAACTGTGTCTGTGTCTCCATGTACTGAGGAGATCATTTGTAATTGGATCCTCATATCCAGAGAATGGGAAATTCAGTACATCCTTACTCAGATCTGACCACGTTTTCACAGAAGTGCTGCAGGCAGGAGTAGTTTGGGATGTGCTCCACTTAAAACATGAATCTGTCATGGAGCTGAGTTTTGCCTCGGTTCCTCCCCTACTCATCAGCCCCCCCCCCAAAAATCAAAAACAAAAACAAAACAACAAGAAAATTCAGCTCTTGTAAGCAACTGCTCACAAGGACTAATATTCTTTTCCAAACTGGACTCCTTTGAAAACCACCACCAGAGGTGCAGATAGATTTTTTTTTTTCAGTGCATCCACTGATTTTATGGGAGTTTTGGAGCACCCCAACACTGAGATGCTGAGCATCTGCATGTCCCCATTATAAGCTCTAAGCAGCACTCTGTATGCTGGTTAAAGAGGTATGAGAATCATGATTGCACTGTCTGCATATTCACAGGAAATGGGTATGAAGTATAGCCCAACAATCATGGCTGTCACGTTTAAACCTTAGAAATGCTGAGACTATCAGGTTTCCATTCAGCTGCAATGTATTCCCTGGTAAGGCCTTACCCTTTGGGACACCTGATAATGGATCAGAATAATCAGAAGTGTTTGGGTCATCTTGAACTACAAATTTCCGAGAGCCAGTCACTTTAGGTTTCCAGGAACCAATCACTCTAGGTGATATAACTGGGATACTTGCCATTGTGGTAATGGAAGCTGAGGAGAACTTCATGTCTGTGGTGGCAAACAGATTTTATTAATGTGTATTACAGTCAGGCTTTCCTCACTGTTTCACGGTATTTCTAAGCTATAGCTGCAGACAGCTTTTAAAGGGAGGTTACTCGACAGAGCAAATGCAGCCCACGGAAGTACAGAGGGCTGATTAAAATCAATTGGTTCAAAACTTTTAAGTATGACAAAAATACATTAAAACATCAACAGCTGCTAGCCAAAAAGCCAGAGAAGTCAAACATGAAAGCAATGCAAAAGTTAACGTAAGCAACTGGTGGAGATGAAAAGCAGAACTGAC